CCCAACGCTCCCCAACATCGTCTCCATGTTTGGGACCTGCAGGTCACGGGGGGTCGGGGCGAGGAACTTCTCGTCCCTCTCCCCTCCGCCGCCGGGAACCTTTTGGGTGACCTCAAAACGCCTCTCGGAGTGGCTCAGGGTTTCGCGGGCTGTTGCGAAACCACGTTTTCGCGCAGAAAACGGCCTGAAATTCCCCTTCCTCCACCCCACCCCACCCCCGCCGCTTCCTTTTCCATCCTTCACCAGGCCGCGCTTTTTCAGACGCGACCTCCCGGCTCGGATCGCGGAGGCCCCGACGGAGGTGGAAACTCCCCACCGCCGAAATCAATTGAAATAAAGAATTCAGCGCGGCGAAGGTAAGCGCGACGGCCATGGCCGAGCACGACCCCCTGGAGAGCCTGCGGAAGGAAGCATCCTGCTCCATCTGCCTGGATTATTTCAGCGACCCGGTGTCCATCAACTGCGGGCACAGCTTCTGCCGCGCCTGCATCATGCGATGCTCGGGAAAATCCGACCGGAGGTTCCCTTGCCCCCAGTGCCGAGGAATCGCCCAAAAAAAAAAATTCAGGCCCAACCGGGAGCTGAGGAACCTGGCGGAGATCGCCAAGAAGCTCAGCGCCAAGGCGGGATCCGTGGCCGGGGTGGGCGGCCTCTGCCTGAAGCATCAGGAACCTCTCAAGCTCTTCTGCCAGGAGGACCGGGCGGCCATCTGCGTGGTGTGCGACCGCTCCCACGCCCACCGCGCTCACAGCGTTGCCCCCATCGAGGAAGCCGCCCAGGAGTGCAAAGTAAGAAATCGCAGCCATTTTTGGGGGGGGACCCCCATTGGAGGTTGAGGTCCACCAGCCAGGGCCTTCTCCACCTTCCTTCCCATGGGAAGGACATCCCATAGGATATCCCAGGAGAGGACCCCCATCAGAGGTTGAGGTCCACCAGCCAGGGGCTTCTCCACCTTCCTTCCCATGGGAAGGACATCCCGTAGGATATCCCAGGAGGGGACGCCCATCGGAGGTCCGTTGACGTCGGCCGTGGGACGTAGATGTTCAACCCCGGGGATTCCTAAGGCGTGATTCCTCTAAACCCAACTCCCAGCGGGGCGGGGGGGAAATCATTCGTGTTATTCCTGGGGACGGCGGAGGGGGCAGAGGGTGATGGTTTTGGGTGGAAACACTGATGGGATGCAGGGGCAGATTGGGGGACCTGATGAAGGGTAGGAACACAGCAAAAAAAACCTGGCTGGGTAGCCGAGCCTGGAGAGTTGTGGTCAACGGAGGTCAACCCAGTTGGGGTCGGGCACAAGTAGTGTCCCCAGGGCTCAGTGCTGGGGCCGGGCTTGTTTAACGCCTTCATCAACAACCTGGGCGAGGGGATCGAGGGCACCCGCGGTGAATTTGTAGATGACACCAAATTGGGTGGGAGTGTGGATCTGTGGGGGGGAGCAAGGGTCTGCAGGGGGAGCTAGGTAGGTTGGGTCCATGAGTTGGGTCCAACTGGATGAGGTTCAACAAGGCCAAGGGCCGGGTCCTGCCCTGGGGTCACCACAACCCCACCCAATGCTCCAGGCGTGGGGCAGAGGGGCTGGAAAGCAGCCTGGTGGAAAAGGCCCTGGGGGGGTTGGTGGAGAGGGGGCTGGATAGGAGCCAGAAGGGGGCCCAGGGGGCCA